TTTATCAGTCTTACTTAGAATAAATCCTACCTCAGCACGGATATTAATGTTTCCTTTAACTTTACAGAAGTCAGTGGAGATCTCTGTCGTGTTACAACTGGCTTGTCATTTCAAAGTACTGTGCCCATACTTTTATCTACACGTTTCTGGTTGTCTGTGTCCCTAAACAGATTTCTGGGGATTTCCTGCTCTTGCAGGCTCTGTGGTGTCACAGAAAAGGACTTCTTTCTGTCAATGGGAACCTACTTTTTTTTATGAATCTCTGCCTCCCTATCATTTTAATTAACAGGATCTCAGAATCGATGACACTTTTGTCTCATGTCATACAGCTGTGGATGTTTCCAACCACTTCATGTTATTTCAAATGCATCATTTATATGTCTGAATCTGTTAAAGCAGAGAAAGCTTCTATCCTAGGAAGGATGAAAGGGTTTGTTTTATTTAACGTTATAGTTTTTAAATTATCCATTAATCCTGTGTTATAATAATAATTTAAAAAAAACCCCAACAAATATGGCGTCTTAGATAATATCTGTCTAATTTATATCCAGGACAACTTTTCTGATATCAGAGAATCATTTTTGTGAGGCATCATCACTTTATATTACTTTCTGTGAGTAAAAGCCCACAAGTAATTTTTTGAAGAGATTGTTTCTAGTAATTAATTTAGAAATATTGCTTGCATCTGTCCTGGTCTGGTGTCCATGTAGCTAATTGGTACCCCCAGCAGTATTTTAAGCTTGCGGCTGGTTGTACCACACCCCAGAAAAAGAAGGGCATTGAAGAAGAGAAAGTTTAGAAGCTGTACTTCTTTTTTTATCTCTCTTCTTTCCCTCTTCCCCCATTCAGTCTCAGCTCTTGTGGAGCGTAATGTGAAGTACTTTCCTGTGAGTTCATTATCCATTGCTTTAGGCCACCGTCTTTAACTGGAAAGGAAGGCAGCAGGTTGTGCTTAACCAGAAAGTTTGACTGAGAGATCTTCTGCTTCCCTACTGGAGGTGAAGCTGTAATTACTCTGTGATTGGGTTGTAGAGGATAGGTAAAATAAAATACTGATTCATAAGTAATAGTGGACTTGTATTTATTTTGCTTTCTCGTACCGAATGAATAATCTTTAAATTTTTGAGAAAATGGAAACAGTACTTCATAGGTTTAAACCATAGTAGATATTTTTCTTTTCTTGAAACTTTATGTGTGTTGATGTATTGAATAGCCGGTAAATGTGCAATTATATGTGTGCTGCCATTTTATCAAAAGATTACTTGTTTCTCACTTTGAGGACAATTAATAGCAGCAGCCTTGTTAAACTTCTCGCCTTAGTATCGATCAATGAGCATTCATTTCAGAAAGCTGTGCTTCAGAAAGGTCTAGCATTAAATAAAAAGCTGACATTTCAAAGATTGACTTTCATGCCTAATCAAGAATGTAACCATCTTACATTTACATCCTTTAGCATTTATGCATTTTGCCTACATTTTTATGCCAAAGTAGTACATTTTGTGAGCCTATCAGCAAGCATAAGAGAACAGTTTAAGGACTTATTCTCATTTTGTTTGGTTCTACCCATATTTATACTGTCCACACCTTCTTCTGGTTTCAGTGATCAGCATTTACCACAACTGTGTAAGTAGCAGACCACTTGCAGAATGAGAGTTTTGGAGTGGGACAGAAACCAAAGAGGAGATATACAAAAAGGATGTGTGTCCTCACACTGGCTGCAGTTGATTCTTTGCTGTATTTTACACACAGGCTTAATGGTTTAGCAGTGGCTTGTGGAGAGCGTGAGCTTGTTGTGTTTAAATATATTGAACTCTCTTATATTCTGAGCAAGATGAGAGATGGGTTCTTGCAGTGCAGTGTGCCTGAAGATGAGAAAAATTTGAAATAGCAAAAGTTGAATCCCTTCATGTTCATGTTTTGGTATAAAATAGTTACATTAAATAATAGATTTATTATGTAAGCAGAACTAGTTGGGAGAAGGAAAACAAATGAGTACTTTAAAGAAGTTTGTTGCTTTATTTTATAGAAAAAAAACGTAACAGCAGTCTATTAAGACTTTATAAAGTTCTGATGCAGCGAGAAAGGAGTGTTACCATATCATTTCTTGCAGTAATAAATTTAAATGGTCTGGTTATTATTAGAATGCTGATCAGGAAGGAAACAGAAGTCTGTCCTTTTTTCATGAAAAGGTCTAAAAAAAGGTTACACACTTCAAAATGCAGAAAAGACAGAAATTAAAAGCTTAAATAACTGCAAACAGCAGGGTACGTCAATAATGGAAGAACTTCTTAAATGACTTTGACAGCTTTTGCAGGTGCACGTACTATGTCACTTTGGCTAGTGGAGCACTGAAAAAGATTTATGGTTCTCCTTTTGGAATTTATTAAGAGTTTCTTTCTTTCTTTTTCTTTCTTTGCAAAGTAGTCTGGACATACCCCTCCCTTCCAGTCGTTTTTATTACAGCTCCTAGAGGAAAGTCACCTATTCAAAAACATGTGTTGCTTGTTGTCTCTGTAGCTAGCTCACAGAGCTGTAAACTCTGGAGAATGTTGTTATTTACAGCCAGATTTTTTTTCTTCCCTTCCTCTTTTGCTTTTTTCCCTTTGTATGTAAATCCCATTCGATTTGGGTTAGTTTCTGAAAGTCTTCCTGTATAATTTTGTACCCCTAAAAATTTAAATTGGTAACAAAAATATTTTTCAAGAAGTTTTTGTTTTGTTTTTTAGGTTTATCAACATATGCTCTATTATATTCCTTTATATGGTGTTATTCTGGCTTTCACTAGCACACTTGCATAATACAGTTTGTAGATGCTCTGAGGGGCCACTGCTATGCCTGTGATATTTGCTGATTCTAATTAATTTTGTTCAGTTCCTGTTTCTCAAAGACACCTTTCTTTTTTTTCTGTTGCATTTTTCTGTTTGTTTTTTTAAATTTTATTTTTTTGAATCTTGCCATCTACGCTCTTTGAAACATTATTTGTTATTTTGACAAATCAGTAAGTGACATCTTGTGGTGTTTTAGTCCATTGACAGAGTTAATCCATTTACAGATGAACAAGTGTCAGGTTTGGTTTCGTTTTCTGAAATTTCTCAACATTTTTAAAGTACCTTTTTTCCTGCAAAATCTTGTCTTTACATTAATAGAAGTAAATGCAATGGCAGCTTCTAATTCTGATGCAAATTCCAGGAAAGTGAAGCAGAGACAGGGTTTTGCTCTCCCAAGAGTTAGTTCTAGGATTAGAGCTTTAATTACAATGAATGTCATGTCAGAATTTTCTTAGGGAGGTAGTGAACTACCAGTGTTATAGAAACAAAGACTTTTAGTTGTCCCAGTGCAGATAAATACTTAAAGCACAACTTCTAAACTGAAAACAGTGACCATAGTTGTGGCAGTAATCAATAAGATAACCAATTAACAATATCAATTGAGACAGAGTGCTTAACCTCCCTTTAGCTGCAAGCAGGGATATGATTGATTACAACACTGATGGGAATGACACAAAGAACTCACAAAACCGGGAAAGAGTTAGAAATATCAGTAGTTTGTTTCTCTGTGTTCCATCCTATAACTTTTGCTCAGTTTGAAGGTCAGTTGGGTTTTTATTGTTTTTAATGCCTTAAGAATTCTCTCATATTCTATCAACTGTTACTTGGTTTAACACATTAAGAGCCATGTTTCCTCTTTGTGGATGAAGAACTATGGAAAGTGTTATCAAAACTTGCCCCTTTAAATCCTCTCTTGTTGAACAAGAACAAATATGTCAGTCTAGAAAAAGCGAATATTGAGATGTTCCTGACAATAATGGGGGAAAAAGTTGGAGAGAGTATTCTGGTGCATGTAGAACACTGACGACATTTGTAATAGGTGACGTATTGAAATCCTCACAGTATAAGATTCACAAGTTCCTTGTAGTCTGAAATTAAGGCCATATTTCATCCCCGTCAGGGGCTTGTTGTAGGTTTAGGCATTTGGTGAACTGTATGATGAGATGTGTGAGTAGTAGCACTTCTTCTTACTTGTGTATGATTTTCTTTAAAGTTAGCTTAACACTGTTTTCCCTTTGCACAAATTCTATCCATATGTCTTTAAATTACGGCCAATTTTCCAAGGTTCAGATCTTTGCAGGTTTTTGATACAAAACAAGTATAAGCGATGCACAGACCTTAAGACAATCATTTGTGAAGCACAAGTGACTAAAATTCCTGACTTGAACATTCTGGTGAAGAAGATAGAGAATTTTTTTCAAGTATTGTAGAAATCTTTAGCCTGGTTCTTTTTGCTAAATAATAATGTGATATAACAAGTTAGTGCATACTCAGTGTGAAAGTGTGTAAATTTACAGCACAAGAGCTCTCTACATAACCTCCCCATGGGGTGCTCTGTGTGTACGCTAACTTTGAGTTAACTCTAATTTACAGTAAGTTATCCTGCCCAAAGGCATTCTTAGTGCATAGTTTCTGAGCTGCCATACTACTTACTCTGCAGTTCAGTTTAACACCCTAACATAAAGAAAGCTATGTAAAGACTCCTGGCTTCTTTTGTATTTGCCACTTCAAAAATCCATTTTTCTTCATGCTTAGTAGACTATATCAACCAAAACTTGTCAAATACTTATCTCAGAAATTAGTAAACCACAGTGCTTTTTGTGATATACTTGCAAGAAAGGATAGGTAGTAGACTTGAGTGATGCTTTTCCTCCAATTGCCAGTCTTCTGCTAATCAAGGCTTTGCATAAATAATAAGGCACTCCAGGCTTTACATAAATAATAAGGCCCTCCATAGGCCATGAAGACAAATAGTTCTCTTGCGCTTTAATTGGTGACGCTTGAGGACTTCATGTCCTCTTTAAGAACCTTTAGAAGACTTATCGATATGTGGTTTTCCTCATCAAGTGCTCAGGAAGTCTTAATGAGTAAAGTGGCAGCTAGTCTCCAAATAAGTAATGCTGAAATAGAAAAAATAAACAAAAATTACAATGTTAATTTTCTATCCTTCAGACTCGTTTCAACCAGCATCTCAGTAACCAGGATTTTGCCTTGGATGTAGATGATGATGATGAAGTGGAGAGAACAAGCAAGTAAGAAACCTGTTTGGATATGTGTGTTTGTATGGGAGAAAGGGTAACTAGTGTTATTCAGCAAAGTTGAGTTCAACTGACATGTTTTTCTCCTGTCCAGGCTGCTAGCTTGACTCTTAATCTAGATGATGTCAAGTAGTTTAGGATTAAATCTCTTTAAAAAGAGTTCTTTTTAGTGCCTAGAAGAGCTTGACATAATCCTCAATCTTCACAGACTCAAGATAAAAATATGGACTACATATACAAAGAAGCAGCAAAATAATATTCACCAACATGGTGGGCAGTGACCTCGGCTAATCCATTCTTTAAGTCTTGTGTTGTAGTCATGACAATGGAAAGTTTTCTGAAGGGTCTGAAAGAGAAATATTGCCGTAAGAGTTTTATATCAAGGTCTTTCTATGTGTGAATTAAAGCAAAATCATAATTTGAGGCCTAAGCTGCATTGAGGCATTCTCTGATTGAATTCAGGAGACAATTTTTGATAACGAACATATGGATTGAGTTCAACTGACATGTTTTTCTCCTGTCCAGGCTGCTAGCTTGACTCTTAATCTAGATGATGTCAAGTAGTTTAGGATTAAATCTCTTTAAAAAGAGTTCTTTTTAGTGCCTAGAAGAGCTTGACATAATCCTCAATCACAGACTCAAGATAAAAATATGGACTACATATACAAAGAAGCAGCAAAATAATATTCACCAACATGGTGGGCAGTGACCTCGGCTAATCCATTCTTTAAGTCTTGTGTTGTAGTCATGACAATGGAAAGTTTTCTGAAGGGTCTGAAAGAGAAATATTGCCGTAAGAGTTTTATATCAAGGTCTTTCTATGTGTGAATTAAAGCAAAATCATAATTTGAGGCCTAAGCTGCATTGAGGCATTCTCTGATTGAATTCAGGAGACAATTTTTGATAACGAACATATGGATATAAACCATGAAGGACCTTGAAAGCAAAGTCAAGCAGCTTAAGCCATGATGCGGTAGGGAAGAGGTAGTTACTGAAGTGTTCAAAGGATATCAGCAAAACAACGAGCCATGGAAATACCCTTTGTAGCAGTATTCTGGATAGACAGAGGGAGGGAAAGACTGCAGTTTTATGGGAGTCAGAGGTAAGCGTATTGCAGTGAATGAAAGAGAAAATAAGAGGCAAAAGCACCAGTTGTTCTTGCAGATAGGCAGTACTCCAGTAAATCTGGTTATATGTCAGAAAGAGGGATGCAGTATGAGAGTCTTTCCACTAGAACAAAGTATGTGGCTAGGTCAGCTGGAGAGGTATAGCAACACTGATGTAAATATAAGGTGTAGACAAGGGAAAAGAGGAACCAATTTTGGAGTAACTGTAAAATTTGGAGGGAAGATTTGGGAAGTCATGTTAAGGGTAACTTGAAATAACAGGTACAGTGGTTGGGGAAGAGCCAGGAGACAGGAAAAACAGCTAATGGTAACTGCATCTCCACAGATACCCTACATCTATGTTTAGGAAGATTCTTCAGTAGAAAGAAATTCCGGGTTTATATTCTCTTTCAAAAGTCTTGGAACGCATTCTCCTACTTTTAGAAGTGGCTCTAATAAACTGGCTTTTATGTTCCTAGCTGATGGAGAAGTTTTTGTTTTCAGGTTATCATCAGAAGACAGTGAAGAAGCTTCTGCTTACTTTTATGATAGTGATGACTCTGGTGAAACTGGAATAACTCCTCAGCATCAAGGAGAAATGGACTTGCTCGGGGAGATTTTGGACACGCTGAGCACACACAGTTCAGATCAAGGAAAGCTCTCAGGAGCAAAGAGCCTGGATTTCTTTAGGTCGATGGATGACATTGATTACAAGACTGCGGTTAGTCTTCTCCTTTGATTTGAAAAACAACTCCAATCCCTTTATAGTCAAATCCTGCACTTGTGGAATCAACAACATGCATAGTCCTCGTAATTGCTGGTGTGTCTTCCTAGGGCTACGTAACTGCACCCATGCTGGCCACTGCATGATGGTTTTTCACCAGCCAAGAGATTTGGTTGCACCTTTGTCCAGTTTACCAAGTCATCTTGGAACAGTATTTTTTCCTTATAACAGTAACCACAAATAAAGCTGAGAATAATTTCATCATTTAGTTAATTAAATAGTTCAATATTATATTTAGCTGTTCAATCTGGTATTCCCAGAGCTAGTTTTAGTTGCCTTTTATACGGTGTAGAAGGTATTTATTTCCATTTTCACCCTGCATCCTTAAACTAGTCATAGTGTTACGGTGATGTTTCCATCTTGATTAAGTCATGGGATCCATGTGGTAATGCACCTGGAAGACTGCTAGAACAGTACTTCAGAGCTTTCTAAGAGAGTTCCTTGATCCTTCTTTAGGTAGAGTTGCACATGACCCGTAGTGCAGGCAAGCAGTTTGTTTACAACTTTTAAACCCTTGCAAAGTCACTGCTCTGATGTTAGCCAAAAAATGTTAGTGTTACTTTTGCTGAAAGGGATCCTATAATAGAAGATTTGTTACTGGAACAGAAAATTCTGATTCAACTGTTTAAAAAGCTTGTAAAATTTTATATTATAAGTGTCACACAGGGGTCACATTAATAAAATGCCCATTTTTGTTTGTTTGGCAAAAAAAATTTAATATTGAAAGTTGGTATAATTAATTACTGAAGCAAAGAGGAAATGCCATCTGGTTTTAGTTTTAGTCCAGCTCCTTCTCATATTATGGGTACAAACCAGCTAAGTGTGTCTTTGTTCACTGTCAAAACTGCTTGTGCAAAGACTGAATGGACAGGGGAAACAGAAATCTGTTTTAGGATAGGACACAGAGCGTTCTGGCAAGAAAGTGTAAAAACACTTGATCTTACATTGTTTCTGGGATTGTTGTTTTGTAGCATTGAACCCCAAAGGGGATCGATGATTTAGGAACACACAATCCATTACAGTAGTTTTGTTTCAGAAGTGCCGGTGTAGAGACGTTTCTTGTGACATTAACTATAAACACATGTTCTTTCTTTCAGAACAAGTCGAATGCACCTAGTGAGAGCAACCTTCCCCTGCTCTGCAGCAGTGCTAATGATCAAGCAGAGTGGAACCTTGGTCAGGATGACACTGTCCTCCATGGGAAGCAGCTCCCTCCATCACCAAGGAAGCAAGTTTCTTCTGGTGGCCATAGAGAATCTCTCTCAAGGCTGGAAGAAGAAAGTAGTGACAAAACCTCTATTACTGACAAGACGGACACCACTAGTATGACATCCCCATCTCCAGTCCGGTCAAGTGCCCAGTTTGATTCTCTAGAAAGTTTCAAAGCAGGCTATTCTTCCTATAAGTATGCAAAGCGGAATGAAACACTAAGCAATACCTCAGATCAGCTCCCAGCAAGTCATGCTCAACATCCATCCATTCTGGTCCCTTGGGAGAAAGACAGGAAGGAAGGAAGTGAAACTCCGGAAGAGGGTGGGCTTCTTCAGGAAGTGGTGTCATTATGTAAACTGAGTTCTGCTTTTCACTATGGTTTAAATATTTCAAAGGATAGCTTATCCAGCAGTAGCAGTGGAAACAAAACGTAAGAAAACTATGAGAACGGAAACTTGACTCCCGTCAGAAGTTAAAGGGAGACTACTCAGGACTCCATATAACTCCATATAACGTGATAACCAAAAGCTGAAAAAGGAACAAGAGAGCTTCGATTATAAAAATAATTCATGCATTTTCTGCCATTGGGACATCTGCTTCTGTGTTTACCCAGTTCATTTGTTGGCTGTAGTTAGGTCCTTAAAATGGAACTAAACATATGAATGCACTCTTAAATCAGGTACTAGTTATTCTCTGTGTTAAAAATACAGCAGGCGTATGGTGCTTCCTAGCATTTGCTTCCTCTAAGCAGCAGGAAAGGTATCACCCAACAGGTAACCATGTTTTGAAGGTACTATATTAATGCCATTAAGCGTGAAATGAACCGAGCAACCTGATTTGTCTGAAATGTACAAATGTTAATATTTCTAATGAATAATAATTGCCTTAATCTTTTGAGAAGAGGTTTAACTATCTTAGAAGATGAATGCAAACCTACAAAACAGCAATAATGATTTTCCATGGCAAGAATTAGCTTCAGCAAAGGTGGGGGGAGGAAACTTTTTTTAGATTAAGGAATTTCTTGAGAATATAACTCGGAACTTACTCCAAACTAAAACTGTGGCCCTGTCTTCCAGACTTTGAGAAGATAACTCATGTTTTTCTCTCTTCTGTAAAGTACATGAAGTGCTGAATTATAATGTGACATTTATTAACTTCTGTTTACAACTAAGACACTTTAAAGACATATTATCCGGTTTCCCTAGGTAGACTATTTCACCTAAAAATTTTCAGAAAGGAAAGTGTAAGTGGAATTGATAGGTTTCTATTATTTTTTATTTTCTACAGTTTAATAGCGTCTGAAAACTAATTTGTGCCTCTTCTGAACTATTTTCTTTCCATTTTTAGTAGCTACTTTTTTGAAGGTAGGTTGAGTTACTGTTACTCAGGAGTCACATGTAGTTTAAATTATTAGTCATGACTGAAAATTACTTGTTACACTAGAAAACTAAAATTACAGATTCATCTTGAGACTGCATATACTCAACTTATTTGAGCCAAGTTGAACAACCAAAAATCTCTTTCTAAATTCAATGAAGAAGAATAAACGGACTTGTATATTGTATTTAGAACAAGCATTTGTCCTCCTTCTGGCAGCATTCCTGAAGAATATTTGGATATTTAAAGTCTGAAAATTCTTGCTGCTATGTGGAGCAGCTCTTTCCTTTTTTATTTTTAAATTTTCCTCCCCTTTCCTTTTTCCATCTCTCCACCTTACCATACATACATCGTCCTCCACAATAGCTCAGGACAGCTGTGAGGTAAGTTTCAGCAGACTGGTATTGTCAACTTTGTAGGATATTTGTGATGCAGTTGGCAGAAGTAACATGAGTATAAAATGAACTGTGCCCGAGAAGAATGCTCTCCTGCTCTTCTAAACTCACGTCAGAAACCTTTTTTTCTTTCTTTCCCTTTTTTGGCATGAATGATTAGTCTTCATCTCAGTATAGGACTGAGTGTGCAGCATGAGGTCATGTGTTTGGATCAGATTGCACTTTAATATATTAATAGTAGTTTGTAGCAAAGTTTAATATCAGTTGCCACACTGAGATTTATGGATGAATTTTCCTTCTAGCTAACAGAAATGGAAAAGGTTCCTTTGGCTGCTTTATTACAAGGCAGCTGACCTAGGGGAATGGATCCATATCATTACGGAGCAATGTTTGATGCTTTAATGAAGACATGCAGTAGAGTGAGATGTTGGCTTTGTTAACAAAGTTTCAGCTCGTTCCAGAATGAGAAGGGCAAGGCCAGTACTTGCTATTGAGGATGAGCCTCCAGAATTACTTTTTTTTAATCAGTGCAATGAAGGTAAAGGGTTGTAAAAGTGCAAATCTTACAGCAGTATCTGTGTCTGATTAGAGCATGAACATTCCTGAGGGCATCTGCAGTCTGCATTACTGGAGAGTCTCAGTATTCTAGAGTTGGACGTTTTATGTCCAGAGGTATGTACTCCAAAGTATTTATCTATCCTTTGTTTTCCTATTGTATATCAACATGGAGTGTTGTGGATATACATAAAAATGTTATTTGGCAAAATATTTTTCACTATTAAAAATAAAAAATATCTTAAAAATTGTTTAAAATCTTCACTCTAAACTTTCCAGGTGGTCAGACCAGGTGGCTCAGGTGCTGTTCAGATGAGAAAGCTGCAGAGCAACCTTACGGATACTTGTTTAGAGGTGGTATTAATGACTTGGTAGAGGCCGTTCTTCCTTGGTGGTACTAAACATTACCCAAATGTAGCACTGCCAAGTGTGTCTAAAAGAAGACAGGCAACATAAAGGTTTTTGTTCTTGTAGTGCTTCTCACTCATTTTCATTCATGCCTTTGCATTTGGTTGCCGAGAACTAAAAGATTCACCTTTTCTTTTCCTCTGCATCTGACATGGTGTTTCTGTCCATGGTTCCTTCTGAGATGATGTGTTGTTTTCTTCATTTATTAAAGTTAATAAACATTATTAATGTCTTAAGGAGAAAAATGGAAAAAATTTGGGAATGAAGGCCATCATTATTTTCAAAAACCATCAAACACATAAGTCTAGGAATGCTGCCAGAAAATAGTTTTCAAAAATGCCTCTGATAGAATCAATCTTACTGGCTTTACATGAGTTAGGCACCGAACTACTATTATCACATAGATTGTCCCGTTCTCATCTTTGTGGAAAAAATAGGGAAACCATGTGAGGCTGCCAATAGTCTTATAGTTATTATAAGGGTCATAAAATTGGAAGTTTGATAGTGAAATCTTTCAAAATTGAGGCTTTGTAGTAATAATCCACTGTTTCACTGAGTGAAAATGCAGGCTGAAAAGAAGTAAACAGATGAGCTAAAAGATGGAAAGTAAAATTCAACTTAGAATTATTTTTATTTCAGTCAAAATGTTAGTTACTGTGCTTATGTCACATTGTTTTCTTACTATTTATAAAGCCCATACAGTCATTAAATAGTATGTCTTTTTTGGTTTTGAACCTTGTATGGGTGCAAAAATAACTCAGTCTTATATCTATGTTGAATTTAAGTGTAGGTACATTTTTAACTCTGTAATATTACAGACTCTTTTCCACTTACTATCAGTGATCTTTTAAAAAGGCTAATATTTGTGCCTTATTTAAACAGAATTACCAGTTACCAAATAGATGAGTCCAAACGGATATTTCCAGTTCAACACTGTTCTCTGTCTTTGTGATAATATAAAACTGTTTATTGGCTACATATACAGTATTTTTATTACCACATCGGATTCTATATTAAGATAAATTGTCCAGGTCCGGTCCTTTTAAAAGTTTTATACTTGTATGCTTTTTATTTGTGGAAATCCTTTCGATGTCTTTGAAAATCATCAACATTCATCACCAGCTACTGGTGAGAACTGAATTCTGCTCAGTCAGAGCTCCTGTGGTCTTCTTTAGAGGTATCTCTTTTGTTCAGGATCTCAATAATCTTCCCATTTCTCCTGTTTAAGGGAGATACTGGGTTATTTGATTAAGCTTTGTAATCTGTTACTTACATATAGGAACAAATTCCTGATGTAGAAAGCCAAACTAGGGCTTGAATTTAATATCCTCGAATTTGTTTTGCATAGATGTCTGCCTGAAATGAGCTGTATCACTCATCTGGTTTGGGAGGAAAAAAGAAAGGGCAGCAGAAAGGGATTCCGGGGTTGTTCCAGTGCGGCTTGGTGAAGAGAGCCTGGGAGTCCTCAGGAGGGATAACAACAACAATGAGGAAATCCAGATTTCAGGATATTGTTTAATGTTCTAGCTCAGTTGTGGTGATTCCAACCCAGCCAGGTAGGCAAAAGTAATATTGCCTATGGAGTTAATCCCCTATGGGATTTGCAGAGTGGATAATATGTTGTCCCAGTCAAAGCCTTCCCATCCGTAGAGATGCAACATGTGAAAAACTGCAGATACTCAGGGAAGGACAGTACTGTGGATGCCGAGGTGATCCCTACCCACCCTCTATGCATGCAGAGGGCCGTCTGTGTAGAGTAGGCAGTGGTTTGCTCTTTCATCCCACATATTTGGGCATCGTGTAGCTCCGAAAAATAGACTTGTTCTGAAGGAAAAATGTAGTTGTAGAAGTTGTCGTAGAACTTGTTGACTGAACCCTTCACTGTCATTTAGCATTTCAGCGATACTGCTGCTGTTTGGGTGGTGGTGTCAGAAACTCTCAGCACTGGCTGAAGTCCCGTCTCAGGCATTGTAACACAGACTTCAGCCAGAGTTTTAGACACGTGCTGGGTGCTTCTGAAAATCCCACCCAATCTATTAGAGGAGTGTTTTAGATCTCAAAAATCTGTTCTAGATGTCTTTTCAGGTTTTAGAATGAGCTAGTTTACAACCTTGTGTTCTTGTACACGATGTAAAGTCTAGGCAAAAGAACAGTTAAGCCAGGTTTTTAAAACAGCTTGTATTTCTCCACCTACAATCAATCATATTCAGTCGTACAGAACAATCTTTCGTTGGTGCAGCTGTCTAATGGAATTGCTAGGAGCATCTAAAATCCTTTCTCTATGCATGTAATTAACTGAAGAAACATTTCATGCAATAACTGAAGTGCCAGCATGAGGCCCTTTTGGAAATGCACCCCTGTGTAGTGCTGACTGTAGCACCCTGTCCTGCAGAAAGGAGCCCCCCAACTGCCGACCTCCCTGACTCTGCAGGGAGAGGTCAAGGGTGGTCTTTATTTCCAAGGGAGTTAGCATCTTCTCTCTTGGCACCGGCCTCTAGTCCAGGTACTGAGACTCCAGCCAGCATGTTCCCAACAGCCTGAAATTTCAGGATAAGCAAACGCGGCTAGGAAAATTACACCTGAGGCAAGCAGCTTCCTTATTGCGAAGCTCAGGATGGTGACGGCTGGGTGTTCCCATGGTATTGTGGTAAATCTTTGGAGAATGAATGTAGAAATAAATGCACCAGCAAAAACAGTATGAGTGGTGATGTGACTTGTCTTCAGTAACTTCTTTGCTGCTATTAGGTGTGTATGTCTTTGCCAAGCGTTGTGTACCTGTTAACAGAATCTGGGCTGA